CCTTTTCCTACATCTTTGACTAAAATTAAGTTCTTTCTTATAAAAAAAAAAAAAGTGGACTTTACTTCATTTGTTTAAATATACATAACTGACAACTTGGATAAAATTAAGTGAATGTTACTTAATATCTTCACAACTGATATGTTTTATTTAAAGTAAAACACACTTAACAGTAAAGTGAGGTTTATTCGATATTGCAGCATTGCATTTTACTCAAACAATTTGCATGCAAATACTTGCAATATATACATTTTTTAAATAAAGTTATTTTTTTAGTACAGTATGAACCTCTCCAGCTTTGACTGTAGTTACATTCTGAGTCCTCCAGAGGGCCGTATAAGGCTGTTAGCTGCTTCAACTCCTGATTAATGAAGCCTTTTTTTATTGCTCTCTGTTGTTTTTCAACTTATCTCCCTCATTTAAAATGAAACCTACTAGTTAAAGGAGAGACCCCCCCCCCCAAAAAAAAAAAAATAATAAAAATAAAATAAAACATCACAGAGACATTCATCTAACAATTCATCTAGCAAACATGGAAAATATTGAAATACTAATATAAATAAAGTATCATATATTTGTAATTACACATTGTGGACAAACAACAACTTCTACTGGTGAAGCTTTATAGATATAAATATCTAGATATATATTCTAGCACATAAATGTCACTGCGACAAAAACTGCCTTACAAAAAAAAACATGGAAATTTCTGTCACTCTATGATGACGAGAAGAGCAGGGCTGGAAGGAGTTTAAAATTACTGCTGGTACTATAAGAAAATATTTTTTTTCATAAGGTTTATATTTTTTCCAATATAGGTTAATATAACCTAATATAACAGCAAAACTACAGTTTTTATTTTATATTGTTAGTCATTGGCTACTCTATTTTATTTATTTAACAAAATGAAACCATCTAACTCTGTTCCAGGTTCTAACTTCCTGTCTGTTTAACAGGAGCTTCTGTTGGTATCTAACAGCAACCATAAGAGGTCTCCATGACAACCACTCTGATAATGCACAGATATCTCAGATAATCAATACATCCAATCACAATAAGAATCGAGGAGCTGATTTCTACCTTTCTTTAGATGTGCTTCTACAGTATAAATGGACATCATTTTTATAACAAAGTTGTTTGTATATTTGGGATGGACTAAGGTGTCTCAAAAATGTTGTGCTGACTGGATTCAGGATTCCTTTAAAGGTACTATAATAATTACTTCAAGAAGTATAAAGTCACACTGGGAAAAGACTGTATCAAAGAATATCTGATAAACAAAAAAAGCTGTTTTCACAGGATGATTTTATTCATTACATTAATAAAGCTACACAACAACCACATCTGGGCCTGATTACCTGCTGATCTGCAAAATCTAAAGGAAAATCCGTAGAACCCATCTGACAACATAAAGTAGGATAAAACTCTTCAACAGCAACAAATCAGGCCTGGATCTCAAGAAGAGATGAGAAACAAGGTCACTGATATCTATATTTCAGGAAAAGATTACAAAGACCAAAGGAGCCAGGAAGCTGAACAGAACTACACCAACATTTATTTTGATCTAAAACATCCATTTAGTTTCATGTTTAACTCTAATGACTCTAGTTTTATTGGATCAGTTGCTTCTTCAGGTTCCGTCTGGATCTTGCAGACTGTAAAATAGAAAGAGTTCTGGGTGTTAATACCATCACAGACCAGATAATGTAGGAATTTCCTTGATGGTCCGATTAGCAGCAGGAAGCTGCTACAGGTTAATTATTGAAAAAGTTGAAGTCATTTAAAGTTAT